CTGGGGAGTGGTTTCTGGGGACTGGTTTCTGGGAAGTGGTTTCTGGGAAGTGTTTTTTTTGGGGAGTGGTGAAGGCCTAAGTCTAACCCAAAGGCATCCAAAAGAAGTGAAGCCCTGAGTCAAACCCAAAGACGCCCTAAAGAAGTGAAGCCCTAAGCCAAGACCAAAGAAACCCTAAAGGAGCGAAGCCTGAAGCAAAACCAAAAGAGACCCTAAAGAAGTGAAGGCCTAAGTCACCCAAAGACATCCCAAAGACGCAAAGCCCTAATCCCAACCACAAGAAACCCTAAAGGAGTGAAGCCCTAAGCAAAACCAAAAGAGACCCTAAAGAAGTGAAGCCCTAAGTCAAACCCAAAGAGAGCCTGAAGCAGCATAGCCATAAGCCAAACCAAAAGAGACCCTAAAGAAGTGAAACCCTAAGTCCCTCACGTGAAGGCCGAAGTCCAACCCAAAGACATCCTAAAGAAGCAAAAGAAACCTTAATGGAGCGAAGCCCGAAGCAAAACCAAAGGAGACCCTAAAGAAGTGAAGGCCTAAGTCTGACCCAAAGACATCCTAAAGACTCAAAGGCCTAAGCCCGACCACAAGAGACCCTAATTAGAAGTGAAGGTGTAAGTGCAACCCAAAGACATCCTAAAGAAGCAAGGCCCTAAGGCAAAGCAAAAGAAATCCAAGTGTTCACTTGTGGAGGAAGTCTCGTGCGAAGCGCTCATTTTTTGGGACGTGCAATGTTCATTTTGGAATGAAGTCTCGGACGACACGCTTGTTTTGATGGCAAGCATCTCAAAAAATCTCGAAAAATCTCAAAAAATCTCCAAAAATCTCGAAACATCTCAAAAAATCTCGAGGGGATAAAAGGAAAAATCATTTTAACAACTCAAAAAATCTCAAAAAATCTCGAAACATGAGAACATATGCAAAAACATGCAAAAAGATGCAAAAACATAATTTCACATGCAAACTGGAGCGTGATATGACTGCTGCGGTCAGTTGTGTTCAGCTGTTAGGATAACTTCTCCCCAAGAAACACAATTTGATTAACCATGTTGTGTTTGAGGTGTTTTCCCCCAAAAAAGTGACATTTTTAAAGAAGAACAAAATAAAATGAAAACATGTGAAAAACATGTGAAAAATGCTTTAAATGTGAAAATATGTTTAAACATGTGGAAAATTGATCAAAACATGTGAAAAAATGCAAACAAAAAAATAAAATTTCATGCGACCCTGCTCTGATCTAATCCTTCTCTGATCTAGTGGGAGCAGAGAATCTCGAGCTCAAAACCGAGCTGCTTGCATCCAGAAGGGCCCTGACAGAGCTCACAGACCGTTTCAACGCTTATCTAGTCCAGCATGGGGAAACACCAGCAATACCAGTTGGACCGGCGTTCAATGCCTTCTCTCCCCAACAGGTGAAGCATCCTACCAAGACGGCAGATACGCGAGATCGCGAGAGATCAGCTCGTCTAGCAGGCCCTCGAAGGGATGCTTCGTTATCGGTGGAATCGAGTGGCTCGGCAGGGCTTTCGAAAATGGAATCCTAAGCCGAAGCATATGTGATCGTCCTATTTGGAGCCTGGCAGACAGTTCTTCAAGGACGTCATTAGCCGCTTGGAGTTTTTCAGAAAGCGTTTCTTCAGGTTTTCCTTTGGGATATCCTGGAGTATGGAATTATGGAGTTGGTCCATTTGTCGGCCTTGGCTCCATGCCTTTTTGTTTCGGTGATCTCATCAAGCTTGATGGTCCTATAGATGGAGTACTTGGCGCCAGTTTTGAAAGGGCGACATACTACTTCAGTTTAATCGGTGACTGGCTTCTGGCTGCTTGCTATCAGACTGCGGCGCATCAGACTTCTTATCTGGATGCTTTTTCCTATGCTGTGAGTCGAATGGCAAGCTTTAGCTGGATTGCTGGAGCAGCGAGCTTAGCCTTGTGCTGCGGCTGGTTGATGATCAAGTCTTTTCTAATTTTCCACAAGACGATATACCTCAGCCCTCTTAGAGGCCTTCGAGATGAGAGACGATTAATTCAACGGTATTTGAACTTGCTGGCTACAACCATGGCATTCATTTACCAATGTACCTGGACGGCCAATCGGCTGCTTGGAACCGATTTTCTCCTGGATGGTGCGCATATCCGTCCTCGAGCTGCTACTACGCAAGGGGGAATGTTCTTGGCTGTTTTCCTTGGAATTCTCCTTCTCGCTCGTTTTTGCATTGCTTTCCGAATTGATTCACTAAAGGGTTGCAGGAAGTTGGGATGACCCGGCTTAAACCAATTCGGCATCGCAGATCTGACAGCAAGAGAATGTGCCTTTTCCTGCTTTTCAATATCATTGGAGCGCAGGCAACGCAGGGGCACCAAGCATTCTCATGGGGAGTGGAATTACCCTCCGCATCCATTGGGGATAACACTGCAACCCCTGGCGCGATTTGGCTGGATCATGGGGAAGGTGCTTGCAATGATGAGACTCTCACGACAGAACACCTGCGCCTAAGTGAGAGCCTGGAGCAGAGGGGAAGATTGGGCAATTTTGTGTTTCACAATGAACCTGTCGAAGTGAAGGTATGGTTTGCAGCCATGGAGTCTTGTGCCTCTAGGTGAGGGACTCCTTGCTGCCCGCTTCTTCACTAGGGGATGTTGGTGAATATCTTTGTAGTCAATGGCCCGATCGAATCTCACCTTCGCTGTGTTCCTTTCAGATCATATGTTTCAAAGGGCCATCCATTTTGTAGTCTTCAATAAAGATGGCCCTCCTGCGGTCCTTCTGCGAACAGTATGTCAGGGAGATAGCGAGCAACCACAAGTAAGTTGATTTTTGTGCTTGCGCACTATCGCATGATCACAAAATCACAAAGGCTTTTCGTCACTCGCATGCACGTTCGTGGAGGAGAGGCGAGTTTGTCGAGTTGGAGTTAGAGCCCACGTCGTGGAGCAGTCAGGCTTTTCCATGCAGGGCACAATCTGATCTCCATGGGCTTATGCAGCTCTCTACAAGCGATATATGGGTACCATTCGCTGGATGAGGGCTAACCATGCTTTTCAAAACAGACTCAGCATGAATGGAGTGGTCAGCTACTCGGCTCCGAATTTTGTGAGACGAGATGAACTGAGACAGTGGTTGAGCAGTTTTTTACCTGACAAGACTGCTGATCGGGTCCTACTCATGGTGTGGAGGCTCAGTCCTAGCCTCATGGTTACCCACTCGAAGGAGAGAGTTTTACTCGAGCCTGATAACTGGTCGAAAGTTTTCAGATCTCGCTGGAAAAGAAGTGATGAGTTCAAAGTTCCAGATTTGGGTGCCCCGGAACCGCAACCCGACTAGATCACTTGCATGTGATTGCCTTTGAGCACAATCGTATGCCCTTGGGTACATCCATGCACCTCTTCGAAGTGTGGACGACCAATGACCCTTCGGTCGGTACGGGCAGAGTCTTTGTGGCGAGACTTGCGGCCGCAATACCGCAGGCATTTACTGTGTGGCAAATTGTGGAAGCTCTTGGTTTTGCGACACTAGTAGCTGATGGCAAGCAAGTTTTCATAGTCTTCTCTTTCCGAGACAACACGGAGCGAGCAGTCTTCGAGGGCTATCAGATTCCAGAAGTCCCAGAATTCTCGCTTCTTAATATCATCTTGGTTGTGAATCAGGACAAAGTCTGTGAGCCGAAGGAGGAGAACACTGCAACCTCCCCTGTGGAGATGCCTCTTGTTGTAGAGGATACAGTGGGACTTATGCAAACACAGCTCACAGCTGCAGAGCAAGCAGCAGCTAGACGATTTGAGCCTGTTATGGGGCGCTTCGGCTTCATCGAGGTCGTGATGCCTCCTGGAGATTGTGGAACCATCTAGTTCGACGCAGAGCTTGGGATCATAGACACACTGATGAGATGTCTGCATGGGTACTGGTGGAAGGTACCCGAATTCAGTCAATCCCGGTCACATTATTTTCTTCAAGCCACGCAGCCCGACCATAAATGATCCGCTGCAACCGTGGCATGGGATGGGAGGTCTTGAAGATCCGGTGGCAATCATGGTTTTTCCATCTCCGCCACTTTTTGCGCTACCAAATGAACATGTGATCTTGCTTCCTTTTGCAGCGCATGACCGTGACGAACGATCTTTCCTTCTCGATATTGTTGACTCCAAGGCAGGACAATGGTCGACTGCTGAAAGGGTTGCTGTTAGAGGAACACGTCTGACTCCTCGAGGCATAGCCACTCCAAGAGGGTTTTGTCTCTATAGACTCTATTTGTCTTGTCTATTTGTCTCGTCATGTCTTTTTGGGTTGATGGCCTTTTGGCGGACACGGATGTATTGCCAGAGGTGGTGTCTTTTCCAAGAGATGCCGCGCAGGCTTCCAAGGCCCGGGAAATCATTTTGAGGAAGTTGGGAGTGTCGGGAAGGATTACAGTGTCATGGGCTGGACGACTGGAAGTCATTCAACGCAATGCCTGTTTGGCTCCTAACATCGGGATGTGCTGTCCGTCAGTTCTCACCGTTGTGCTCGGATTTCAGACCAGTAGCGGCTTATGAGGCGAGTCTTTTTCCAAATCACAGGACAGTCGTGTTCCAAGCCTCGAGTTCGCTGAGGAATTTCAACATTGTTGGGGCCAAAAAGGTGTCCCTCAACCTGTGATGGACTGGCTGCACTGGGAACAGTGACTTCTGAATGCCTTTCGGCCTGCTCTTCGATTACCTTCAGTTGGTCTTTGTGGAGTTGGCTTGGAGTCAGGCCCAAGACCGTCTTATTCACGGAAAGACGACCGCTGAGAACCGTCAGTGGATCAGGTGAGGGAGGCATGCGCTCTCGGTGCACTCTCGGCCGGAGGGCCGATGAAGTCGCAAGATGGCTTGAAGCCAAAAAGCGACGCCCAAGATCATTGTTGTCGGTGAATTGGTAAACAGGGAATGACAAACTGGGGGTTCTCAGAAACGGGCAGCCATATAGTGGCGTGTCTCATTACGTCTCATTACTGCCGGATCAGCCATCACAGGTTCAGTTGGGAACTTTGTGATGACGCTGAACCTGTTGCAAATGATCATCATGATGATGGTGATGATCCGTTTTGCCGGGGATTTATTTCGCCACAAGGCCCAAACTTCGCGTTTGTCTCTCCCGTGCTGTTGCTTTACCCTGAAGAAAAGCCCAAGGATCCTGTTCAGGTAATGAGGGTCCAGGGGAGGACGCTCCTGACATCTGGGGTGATTGAGAGCGACAACATTGGGCTTGATCTAGTCACTTGGAGCGATGACCCAGATGTCGGGAGTGCCGTCCAGGAATTTTTGAACCATTGGCTTGCTGATTTTGGGGTCACAAGTGATACCGAGCGCGGGTGTGCGAAGCATGCATTGGAGATCAGCTTGACTCTTGGCCTCATGGTGAATGGTGTCGCAATCACAGGCCATGCTACAAGCTACAGGGGCTTGATATTCTCAGTCCAGCATGTATTCGAACTCCTTGGAAAGCTCAAAGTCGGATCTGAGTTGGATGTTGTCGTTGGTGACAGAGAGTGTAAATAAAACCAATGTAATTCAGGAGCTGCCGGAAAAGCGTGCGATTTTGCCAGGCGGAAATGATGCGGACGCTCCTGTTATCCCGCGAGAGTATCCAAAAGCCTCAGATGCAGAGCCTTGCCCAAAGAAGGTGGGAGTTCCAAACTTTCCCACTTTCTCCTTGATGCTTTTTGGCTCCAAACCTGTTACCTTGAAGGTCGCCAAGGTGCACAAAGCTGACAATGGATGGAGCTACATTGACTACGAGGCTAGGGCTCGAGAAGACTGGACCTAGTCCGGATTGCTCGCTTGCCCCTTTCTTCTCACTCTCGCCGCAGCCATTGTCCGCACGCGCAGCCCTGCGTGGCACAGACGTGCCAGGAAGAAGCGCTCCATTGCTCCGATTGCTCGGGCTTTTGTGAATATAGACAGTGCAAGCAATACATTTTTGAGACCTAGAGTTCTGTATCGCCTGCGATCTTGTGTAAGACTGCTGGAAAATCATCGTTCTGGGATATACGCTTGCAGATCTTAGATTGAGGAGGACTATGTCATGGAAAAACAAAGCGGCGTGGAACTACAGGGCAGAGGAGTTGAAGAAATCGTGGAGCAACAACTTCAATGTCAAAGACCCAAGAGACAAAAAAAGAAGGACCAGGCCAAGATGGACAAAGATACCAAGCCCGTCTTGATAGGCCACGATGGGCGCAGAATAGAATTAGATTTTGGTACTAGGGGATCGTCGTCGCAGTCTTTGCAGGACGAGAACAAGTGTCTCAAAGAGGCAGTGAGGTTCTTTACATGTCGGACTGCTCCGGACTCCATCCCAGAGGAGCACAAGAGATATGCACCTCAGGATCCTCGCGAGAAGATCAGGGAGCAGCAAAAAGAGTTGAACAAAGCTGGCACATTTGTTCTCCGGAAGGCGATGGTATGCCACCCTGTCCATTGACATTGTTTTGACCCGGTCCATGGCAACCTGCTCAGGGCTGAGACATTCAGCTTGTTTCGAACTGCGCTTCTGAAGGGTTGGATCAAAGTTATTGTAGCAGGGCCACCGTGTGAAACGTGGTCAAAAGCTCGCCGTGTCCATACAGGTGAGGCATGTGCACCCAGGGCGGTCCGCACTGCTGCACTACCATTTGGACTTCCTTATCTCACCAAAAAGGAGTCGACACAAGTGCTGCTTGGAAGTGGCCTGTTGATATCGGCATTTTGTGGCGCAGTCGCTATCCTTGAACATCCTGCTGAAGATGGTGACAACCACATGCTGCGACCATTTCTGACACGGGGATCCTTCGAACCATCCTGAGGCTCCGGATCCTTTGCGTATTGCAAGGATATTTTTGGGGGTTGGACCCCTAAACCAACAAACTTGCTCTTTGTTAATGCCAACCAGAGAGTTGAGCAGATCATGTTTGAACAACGCAGCACGCCGCTGCCCAAGCGAACGGCTGTAGGCAAGGAAGCTGACGGAACCTGGGCGACCACCAAACAAAAGAGTACCCCACTGGACTCAGTGTAGGTCTGGTGATTGCCCAGTCGTTGCCGCAGCAGGGGATTGATCCATTGCCTGAGCACTTTTTGTCGAGGGTTGCTTGACGGCCGATAGAGGCATGGGTTACAATCCCCAAACTGTGCACACCTTTAATTCGGAATTGGTTGTGTAGCGGCCACGGATGAGACATTATCTTCGGCTGTCGCAATAGCAAGACAACCGTCATGCATGTCTTGTGATCTAATTTATGGATCATATTAATCCTTTGACCGTCGATCTGGGGGTCGCCTGTAGATGTTGGATGCCAAGTTTCTCCAAACGAAGCAAATTCGGAAGGCAAGGCAAATCCGGAGTCCACACTTCCTTCAAGTGCAGAAATGGCACACGGAGCGGTTCATAGTCAGCCCCACAGAGGTTTGAAGATATATCAACGTGTTTTTCCCATGCGTTTGTTCAAGGTGGACAAGAGAACTTCTGGCAACATCTGGGGCCGTCGAAGACTCAAAAGACAAACCTCTTTCAATGAGTTTCGGTTCAGACCTGACCTTCGGTTCACAGGGCCGGCACGGCACGTCCCAGCCCCTTTCATCATTGGAGCGCATGAATTGAGACAACCACAAAATCCACCATCTGATCTATTTGATCTGACTTTCTACCAGCACCCTCCAACAGGTCTCCTCTGGTGGCCTTTGGAGGCTTAAAAGTCGCAGGTGGTGACCTGTGACGGAAGGTGTCATTGAGCCACCACGTTGCCCCGGGGTGACTTCTTTTCTGGCCACGTCCTCGACCTGATCTTTCATTACTACCCCTTCTCCCCAGAATGAGAGGGTATCTATGGTTTGGGTCTGTCCGCACATACCTGTAACAGTCGGTAAACGATTATGAATGATTAATGACGATTTTAGAACAAGGCCTTGACGAATTTTCATCATCCACTGTAACTGGTAATAGGATGTAATAAGACAATAAGATTTACCATGATTTACGATGATATACCCAGATCTCACTGGCAGATCTCACTGGTTCCTGTTCTCTTCGCCCAGGGCTACGAAAGTGAGCCGCGCGGCCCAGTGGGTGGGGTTGTCTCGTCGAAGGGTCGATGTGGTCGATGTGGTCGAGCTCATGGCTGACACCTACCAAGAGGTCTCCAGTGACCTGAGGACAAGAAAAGGACCTGGAAAACCCTGGGGTACCCAACTAGTTGAACTAGGACAACTAGGGTCGGTTCTTGAACCGGTATTTCTGTGGCTCGGACCTTGATCTTCCTTTCCAGGACATGACCGGCTTCCCCGATGGTTTTGTTGTTCCACGACCATCCAGGAGTGATATGTTGACAGGGGGCGGCTCTTGGGTTCTTTGTGTGTGTGCGCGCGCAGAACTGGAAACTGAAGCTGTTCTATCCACAGTCGTGGCTTTTGTTTTTTGGGCATGGTTTTATGCCAAACAACCCCCCCAGCCAATCGAAAGGCAATCTTTCGGATTCGCTACATCTACGGCAGAGGCGGTGGTGCGGATATAGAGCTGGGAAACACATCTGAAGAGCTGTCTCCAAGATCGTCCGCCTGAGAAGAGCCATGGTATGCCATCAGGTGGACGATCTTGGTGAGGACGATCTTAGTGACATTCTTCCAACCAAAGTCTATACTTCCTAAGGTATCTGAAAAATAGCAATGAGCATTCCAACATCCTGAAGCAACTACTACCAGCAAAAGTACTCTACACTGAGGACGCTTTTACACACATGAATCTGTTACGGATGCTGACCCGATTTCCATTTTCCCCTATTTCTGGATACATCTGAGTTTTTAGGTCTGCTTTTTCTGGTCATATTTAGCACGGGCTTCTAATGAGTCGGATGGGCGGATGGATCGACGGTAGTAATAACACGTACCCTCTTACAACGAGGTCCTTGAATGAGCCGTGGATGCAGTGGTCCCCAAGACCAATTCCGAACAAAGAGGCACCACTCTGGTGGTGCCATCCATGTATGGCATATGTGCCTAGTTACATTGGGTTGGTTTGGGTGTCAATGTAGTGGTGCCATCCACGGTCCACGATTTCAAGTCGGTTTACAGTGGAAACCACGCTTCTGAGAGCAGCCAGAAATGGTCAGTCCACGTAACCATGAATATGTGTCGTCGTTCTTTTTCAGAGTATGTTTTCGGTCGACTTGTCGACTTGACCCGCATCAGTTGGTAAGCAAGAACATCACTAGTTTAGAGAAAGGCCTGCGACCTATCGTGACCTAACCACCATCATATCATATCATATCATATGTCATATGTCATATGTCATATGTCATATGTCATATGTCACCGTCATATCATATCATACAATATACAGTAATCATCTCATTGATTTTTCATATCTTTTGTTATTGTTTTTCACTTCCATGTCTCAGTGAGTGTATCTTCCCAGATCTGATGTTTTAGCGATGCACCGGTCTCCACGTCGTCCTCGCAAGGCCAGCAGTAGGCAGCGGTTGATGCAAAAGTGGTGGCTAGAGGTCTTGAGGAGAAGAAGACACAAATGATCATGCCATGGAATACTATCCCACACGCTCCATAATTACATGGCATATTTACATGGACCCCCGAAATCGACCACCCCAATGGGATATATATGCCAGTCCCATGGAGTGTTTGGGTATTGTTGAGGCTATTTACCTGCAAGAGTTGACCCTGAATTTCATGGTTTTTAATCTAATGTCTTTCTTCTTCATTGTGACTTACATGGCATCAATCTGTTTTCCTTGTTTACAGCTTCCAAGTCCAGGATCCGTCCTTGTCCGGCATCCACGTCACGCCATGCAATGTAAGATCCGGATCCAGCTGCTCAAACCATCTCAATTCTTAGTGAATCGCGCCACGCCGTGCCTCAGAACCGCGGTGTTTCGTACTGATTCGTACTGGCTCAAGTGGTTTCCACGCGTCCCTCCGCCCAACAGTATCGCGCCGCCCCGCCGGTCCGCTCGGCCGCAGACCGCGCGCGAGCTTGGGTGTCTTTTCATACGTGTTCGAAAGCGCAGGTAGTGAAAGGGCGAAAGATGGTGGAAGCAAGGTCTTCTTTCCTTTTTGTTGGTGCAGGGAAGATGATGAGGGAAGATGGAATCGGAGAATACAGAAGCCTTTGTCATGGCTGCACCAAGGTGAAGAGTCGCCAAAAAAGGTCGATAATTCTTGAAAGCGCCCATAGATTGTGTCTATAGACAAAAAGTATATGAACCACAGAGATGTCTATTGCAGTATAGTACCCAACAGTTTTAATTTGAGAGATTGCTGTCAATCTCCATGCAGGTTTCGGTCCCATGTCGACAGATTCAACATGATTCAACAGAATTGGAGGGTTGATCTTTGTCGATCATGTTTAAGCATAGTTGAATATCATGTCATATCATGTCTGTAGGACAACCACTTAGGTTTGTTTTCTTGCGGTGGATTCCCTGCTCGTTTCATGTCCATTTCTGTACGGATTCCCAGACCGATACAGGTCGCTTGCGATTGAAGGTAGGTCGCCTGTGGCCGCACATGCACCGAATTCACAAGCCGCTGTGGATAGCAGGCCCGCGCCCAGCTGAAGCATCAGCTGATTCCCAGACTTGAAAAAAACACACAGACAAACCAGTGCTTGACTCATCCAAACCGAGCGGTGCGTGCACAGAGACGAGTCAGGTGCTTTTTGTATATCCCCCCCTCCGGTGTTCGGCCCCCAGGTGTAGCTCTTTAATGGCGCGGAGAACGATGAGCTTCTCGGTGGAGCACGGAGAAAGAGCGTGGTGAATGGGAGGGATTGGCCCAAGGACCCGTGCTTTTGGGAGCGGTGCTTGGAGGTTGCGTTGGGCAAGGACTTGTCGGTAGGTATAAACCCCAACATCGGAGATTGGAAATGATAAACTTGATAATCTAAGAACATTATGCTAGAGCACGGAGGTGTTGCATGCTAGCAACTTGAGCAATGAGAAGGCTTAATAAAAATCTAATGTCTTGAAGAGAGCAGAACAAACAGTTCAGGAGGTTTGGCGTTGATCTGACAGAAAACGAAGCAAACAAAAACACTAGCAATATTGTGAGGCCCTCGGTAATAAAAAGAGCCTTGACAACTAAACAACACTCAAATTCAAGACATGATATTCTGAGAACCCTGGCTGGGTACCCCTCGTTGAAAAAGCAAAGGAACAAAACATATATGAAAACCTAACGCACGAAAGAATACATTGAGACTCTTGCTGGATATTTATTCAGCCTGGGGGTGCCGTTTCCGAAAATATTTCTATTTATTTTTTTAGGTTTTGTTTTTGTTTGTTGGTTGTCATTATATACAGTCGTCTCAAAGCTTCAACAATTACAGAACCATTGGTTTTAGACATTTCCGGTTTATCACATATGAACAGGACAACAAAGGAATTTACAGTTTAGCAGCCTGTAGTTGCTAGCGTGTGGCGCGCAATCAAATTCCGTTCATGAACAAACTGGTTTTTCATTGGCACAGCCCCAAAAAACCACTGAATTTCTATATATATATTATATATGTAACTATTTCACTCAATCTCCTTCCCAGGCAGCCGCTCCCGAGCGCCTCGTGTCTCCACCCTTGCCGTTGTCTCATGCTGCGCGCTGGCCCTTGGCAGCGTTGCCAGCTTTGTGGGACGAGGTGCTGTGCCCGGCATGTTTAAAGGAATCAGGAGACACGTTTGACATGTTTTTTGGTGCAGAGGAGGGGATCACTTGAACAGGTCAATAGCATTCAATAGGAATTCGTGACCGAATCTCGTTTTGATATATGCATTCTTTACTTTACATGGTGTTTTGTTTGTGTTCATCAACTTCACCATCCTCGTAAAATGTTGACAAAACTGGGCAACTGCCTCTCAGGGGATACAACCAGTGTCTTGTGATGTGCCGAAATCAGTTGAAACTGAAGTGTTACTAGTAGCTTTTTGCAACTAGCAGTAAGGCCAGGAGCTAGTAGTAGCGTCCTTGCTCCTAGTGGCGATGCCCTTTGTTACTAGTAGCTTCATCGTGTGGCAGGAAATTGGGATCTAGGAGCTTGTGGTAGGGGAGTTGTTGGCAGAACACATTGGAACCACCATGAACTTGAGAAACCATTCTTTGAAGAAACGTTTCTTTTTTCCTGGCATTTCAGACATGTGACACGAATGACCCCTTCAATCACTTGGCGACGACAGATGATATAGCAATTACACCACCCACCAGGACCATTTATCAGGGGTCAGTGGGTTTGTGCGTCCGGACCCCGTCCGGATGGATCAAACATGATCACCATCCGGATGGATCATGGTCATCAACTGAGAGTGGGACTCAGGGTGAACATTTGGGGTGTGAAAACATCGACACCATGACCTTTGGGAGATTTGATGCCAGCTTCGCGTCTGTTCGAGACCTTATGCCAGACACATGGATAGTGCAGATAGTGGAAGTCGAAGGGTTTCCCCTGAGAAACAGATAATGTTTTGTATTTGAATTCAACAAAAACGGAGAGATTCCTGAAGGGTTTACGCTTGGATGGCATCGTGCAATGGCACTCACCCATGGGAATTGGGTGCTTTCTTCACATCATTTTCGACATTGAATTGTGTGTGTGAGAGACCTCAACCATGATTATCATCACCACCAGTGAGGCCCTAGAACGATGCAAAACCTTAGTGTTGCAAAAACTCAGGTGTATATCACATACATACATATACATACTCTCTCTCTCTATATATATATTATAATTATATACGTACCGTGTATATATATATATATAGAGAAGTATAGATGATACAGGTAGAAACATGGTCAAGCCATGGGGTCTTGATCGATGAACACCTCAGGTCTTGTCCATTCTCCAGTGCGGTTCACCTCGGTCGTCTCACGTCAGGTTCAGCGCCGACAGCGCACTCCGCGCGGAGCCGGACGGCGGTCGCGCGGAGTGCGGAGGCAGCGGCAGAGACCAAGCCGGTGAAGAAAGACGGGCCCTCCGAGGCGAGGGACGCTACTAGTAACAAGAAGATAAGAAGCTACTAGGGGCTCCTGGCCTCGCTACTAGGAGCATGGA